AACATATTTTTTTAAACCAGGATTCCTTTTTATTATTTTAGATTTGGATTACCCTCATTTTTCTAAAATATGTCTTGTCTAGGTTATATAGAGTGCTCTAAAATTAATTGGTTTTTTTGTATGAAAATCGTAAGTAAATCAATGCCCTGTACCCAATTACATACTGTGGAAAAAATAGTTTTTTACTTACACGAGTTTTTTAATATCACTTTCCTTTAGTAACGTTTTTATTCTATGCTTGTTAGTATACAGGGTGAATCAAGACTCGGGCCCTTGGTTTTCATATGTTTTATTTAAATAGGGCACCCTATATTTTTTATATTACTAATACTAACAAGTATAGAATAAAAACACTAAAAAAATGTGTAATATATGATATTAAAAAAATCGTGTAGGTAAAAACACTATTGTTTCTACAGTTCACAGTATGTAATTAGCTTCAGGGCGTTGATTTATTTATGATTTTCATACAAAAAGTGACAATTACTTTTAGATTACCTTATATAACGTAGACAAACCATATATTAGAAGAATGGAAAAAATGAGAGTATTCTAAATCTAAAATAATAAACTGGTGTTCCAATTAAAAAAAATAGGTTTGGTTCGTACCTGAGTCATGCAACACTTTATATACCTCTATGTAATTTTAAAATGTGTCTCTCAAGCCACCCTACACATTTTGTTAATATATTTTTTAAATCTCTTACAATAAGGATGATATCGAACTTCTTCATAAGATTGGTGCTCCCTGTATACAGGGTGTACTAATAAAAACTCCCAGGCCAGATATTTTCGTAAGTAATAGAGATATTTAAAATCTGTAAAAGCCAGTCGACAGAGCACTAAGAGAGCTTCAGTTTTGGATATAAATTAATTTTAAATAGGTCAATATGTAGATGGCGCTGCGCTCAATATTTTTTTTCGATGGGAGGATTTTTCTTATATGATGTATCTGGTGAAAAATGCATTTTAAGCAGATTTTGTTCTATAAACTAATTCGATAAATCTAGCCATTTTTGATATACAGAGTGGGTCACTCAAAACAATTTCATCCTGTTTTTCAGCATTAATAATTGGATTTTTAGAAAATGCTGAAATAAGTCGATTTTTATTCCAAATTGAACACATTTTTACAATACAGACATCTGTAATGTGTCAACCCCCTCCCTTCCACTTCTCCAACCCCTTAATTTTAAATAAGGAATGTACCATGTACGGCACATCAGGAATATGTTTGTTGAGAGACTTAATATTAGCGCCCTCTATCGAGATAAAAAACCTGTAACGTATTATAAGGTGTGACACTTCATTTGAAAGCTAATTTAATTGCTAATTCAATGCACTACATAACATTAATATAAATATTTACATACTGCACTTGCAACAAAATAAATTTAGCAATAATGTTTAAAATATTACATTACTAATTTTCAAACTATTGCAAGTGCAATATGGAGGATATTTATATAAATGTTATGTGGTATATTGAATTAGTAATTAAATTTGCTTTCAAATATGGTGCCACACTTTATAATACGTAGTTTTTTATCCCGATAGAGGGCGATGCAATTAAAAGTATTGCAATAAACAGTCATATTTCTAAATTCCCCATATAATTACCCTTTTAATGATGTAATACACATTGTAGTATCACAGTCTATAATACGTAGTAGTTTTTTATCCCGCTAGAGGGCGATAAAATTTAAGTAACGCAATGTACAGAAATATTTCTGAATGCCCCATTAAATTACATTTTCAGTGATGTGCCATACATGGTACATTACCTATTTAAAATTAAGGTGTTGGAGAAGTGCAAGGGAGGGAGTTGATTCATGACAGATGTCTGTATTGTAAACGGGTGCATGCTTTTTCAAAAGATATCAAATTTCTGAAAATAAGTTTACTTAAATCTGTATATTTTGGTCTAAGGAATATGTTGTATTTTTTCGAAAACACCTTTTACAAATACCCTGATTTAATATATTACCATTCTGAAATTTTAAAAATATCCTATTAATTGTTGTTTTTTTTTATTTTCAGCGAATTTTCGTAGAAGTCGTCGCAAAACAAATTTAAATCGCCGCAAATTTCTCAAAAGTTAATCGGTAGCACGATATCAATGGTCTGAGCTCATGTTCATTTCACCTCTGACAATAAAGACGTTTGTTCTTAGTATGTATGTCCTTTGATGTTAATGGAGAACTTTGGTTTACATTATACCATCTTGGGATGTATATGCCAGGATCAAATGGACAAGGCTGCAGATATACTACCTAGAGATATATTTACGTATCGAAGGGTTGTTATAGAATTGAACATGATACGATTATCATTAGTGTCGTCGGGAGTAGAAGATTTCCGGACGCGCTTTAATCGCGAAAATCGACTGGATATAATGGATATTATGAAGTGGAACGAAATTCTGGAACAACAAATGGGATATGGAGTGAAGAAGGTGTGAGCAGCTTCAAATGGTGAGTTTTTTAAATTAAATTTAGCTTTTTCTGCTAACAAATTATTACAACATACGACGACGGGACAAGTCCGTGAACTTGCCATCACAATATTGCAAAAATAGGATTGTCTATCATTTGTTCATTATTGTCCATGAAATAACTTTGCTTACTTCGTTTTCAAAGTATATTAGAAATAAATTTGGAGGGTCAACTTTCAAACAAAAGTAAACATTTTCATAGTTTACCTATATACAATAATAACATTTTGTTTGCCCACGTTTGCCCATCAATTAAGTTTATTGAAAAAAGAACAAAATAAAAATTTAAAAAAAGTCACATAACGGTATTCTCGTACTTTAATCTTTTTCTGATTCAATTTTATTTTTATTATGTTATTTCAGGAGGAATGAGCGACTTCAAATGGGGAGTTTTTTATTTATATTTAGATTTTTTCTAAAAACAAATTATTGCAATATTGTAATGGAACGAACGATAATTACATATGTGATTTTATTAAAGCCAAGTGTTTGAAATTTAAAAAAATAGAACTAAACAACCATTAAATTACAACTTCCTTAGTTTTAAAGATATTGAATCGTTCAAAAACTGATTTTGCAGGAAATTTTGAGTGTTACAGGGCCTGAAAAGTTGAACTTTCTTGAACCTTTGGCCTTAGAGATGTTTGAGATTAAAGATAGTACTCACAGTCAAATGCAAACTAAAAAGGGTGATATCTCAAGTAATTTTTACCCTCCAGAAATTAAAATACTATCTTTCGATATTTAAAGTTTTTATTAATTTTCACCTCTAAGAAGGAGGTGGCATTTTGTTGTTTGGGATAATTGGAAAGTAAAAAATGGAATAATGCACTCAATATGAATATAATTTATTCGTATAACAACATTAAGGAAATTATTACATATTTTGTTCTACATTGAGTAATAACTGAGCATGAATTAATTGATAAATACAAATATTAAATTATTAAATCGTAATGAGAAGAAGAAGAAATTAAAGCTAATTTTTTTTATTTAAATAAAATATAAAATTCTTGGATTCAAACTCAGTTCAAATAGTTTTACAGTAAAAAAAAATATACAAGAAGGAAAGTAAATACTGTAATGTAAGAAAAAAGAATATAAATAATATTAAAAAATTCATCTCAACATTTCTAGGTACACTGGCAAACAAACTTTAAATTAGTACACACTAACACAAAAAAGTTCAACTATAAGATAAACAATAGGTACTTAAAAGATAAACTAAATATTTTCTATGTACAAACAACACTCATTCCAAAAATATAACAAAATTCTCACTCTAACAAAACTACTAAAGTATTGCATAAATTTGTTCGTTGTAATATAAAAAGATGATCACAACAGACTTTTTTTCTTTATTTATATGTATCGAAAAGTGAAGATTCTGTAGCACCATAGTTTGAAACGTCGTCTATGAAGCACCAGAACTGTTTATAAAGGAACGCGTTAAAGTTCAGAAAACAATCATCTCTGAATGTAGTCAAATGAATAAATTACTTATAATATCTTTTAGAAAGTTTTAAAGCAATAATATTTAAAATAGGAAAGGAGGATTTTAAGTTTTTACAAACGAAGCATTAGATGGATTAAGAATTTCCACAAGTTTACCATACAATGAAATTTGCCCAACTTTGTTTTACAATAACAAAATAATATTAAAAATATGAAGTAAACTGAATAATTAAAAAATATCTTTATTAAACTTTCTTGGGCTTTAACGAATATCTCTGTTATTATTGGTCCAATTCAAATTGTCATTTACAAGTTAATATGCACAGTAGCATTACCAACTTTGGTTTTAAATAAAATTATTATTTCTGTTTTCTGTCCCAGTTTTGTCCAGATTAATAAACCACAAATATTACAATGCAATGTTGCCGGTTTTAATATATTGAGATTACTTTTAACAAAAACGTCTCACTGTGGTTAATACTCTATAAGCATATTTTTTTATTGACATTCGCATAACTTATCATCCCATTCCTATGTAAAATAAATTAAATTAGATTCTATCTACGCGCATTTGATTGAATTTTTTATAAAATTAACGCAGCTTCATCTAAAATATCCAAACGAAGTAATTTATTCATTTGAAATTCATCTCCAACTAACTCCAACCTCAATATACCTATCCCGTTATTGACAGTATCTATTACTCATGCGCAAATCCTACCTTTTTTTTTAAATCAACAAAATTTGTTGTTTTCTATCCTGAGTGTCAATTACACAACCACAAATGCTATTTAAAAAATTAGTTCTGTACTTTTTTCGTACATGAGTAATAGAAATTGGTCGAATAAAGGAAAAGGTATATTGATAATAATTACGAATCAATTTTTCCGGATTCTAACGTCGCTCCAATAGGATTTAACGTTTTCATATAATCTACGGAATTACTTAATATTATACCCAGTTCCTTCCACCTGATTGCACAAAAAACCCGATTTTTATTTATAGTCTCCACTCACAGAACGCTAGAAGTGCGGTATATAGCTACAATGCACGGGGAAAAAGCCCATTCAAAGTTAGGTCCCATTTAACAATAAAAAAAAAACCCGAACCGATAGTATTTTATAAGTCCCAATTTTTTTACACTGTTTATATTTTGTCGTACATTATAACTAGTTATGTATAGTCGGTTGCAAGAACTTTCATTAAAATTTAGTAGGTTTATAAATTTTGACAGATATTTACACAGTAGATACGCTAAATTAGTGATGACGTAATTTTGGTTCCACTTACAGTGACACTTGTTTAATATTATTTATTCTTTTGAGTGCGTTTTGTTTTTCTAAAGGACATAGTTTTTAAACTTTTAGAAATATTTTCCTAAAGTAAATAGATCAAATAGTTATTCTGTTTTTTTGTTTTCACGATAAAATTCGTTTTACATTTTATAAGTAAAATGTAGTAAAAGGTTTAAAGTTTCTAGTATTAAAATACCTCTTGTGAAATTTTCTATTATTTCCTAAAAATAAATAAAAACGAGTAAAGGTAAAAGTTGAATAAATATTATAATAGAGGTTATAGATATTCATTTTTTATTTATGTTATGATTTGCAAACAATAATAAAAAAACTAAAAACAGTAAAAATGTATACATAGATTAAATTCAATGATTTGTTTTTGTTAAAATTTGGTTTAAAGTTTACTGTTAGCCTTACCAACATTACGTCGCATTAATATGGCGTGACATTTGACGTTTATTAAACATTATAAATAGTTCTGCAACTTTGTATACACCACATGTAAGTACGACCCACTTTTGATACGTTCCAAATAAATATTCCCAAATCCAGTCGGTGTCCAGTTTTTTCCCCTAATCCTTGTTTTTGTTAGTTGGGGTCAGTCTGTCAGGCCTTAATCCTCGCATATCCTTCCATTTCCTGTAGATAACCTCGCGATTATCCGAATATTATGTAGATGAAGAGTGTTTAATTTTTTTATTATGAAAAATTATATTATCACAGAAGAGATTCGACAGATCCAATGTAATCGAGAAGAAGAAAATTTTTGATTTTTTCTTTTTTCAAAGAGACTACTTCTACATTGGACGGATAAGTTTATAATATAGGTTTTGTGTAGCCATTGTTACACCTAGAAATAAATAAAAAACATATGTCAGACGCTGGTATCGGTTATCGGTGTGTTTTGTCATAAATAGAGAATTTTTCCGTTAATTTTGCATGATTGGAGAACTGTTGTATGCTGTGAGCTGTTGAATTCAACTGAATATCGTAAATTATTCTCGTTTTAAAACGAGAGTAACATTTTAATATTGAAATCAAATTTTATGTATAGGAAAATCAGCAACATCTTTATTGCGTTACTTTTGATTCTAGCGCCTTCTTGCGAGATAAAAATCTATTAAGATCTAAAATGTATACATATAAAAAATAATGTCAGAGATTATGGAAAGAAAATATGAGTAAATATAAATTGTACGTCAATTTAAAAAATTGTGATTTAAAAAATCAAAGGGGGTTAACTATAATGTAGTTAAAAATAAATTGATGTTTAAAGATTAAGTAGATTATTTGAAAAATTTCACAGGAATTGAAAGAATATTTTAAAAGATTGCGTGTATTGAATAATATAGAAAATTAAGTCTACAAGTTTTAACCTGTGGTTTACTTCTAGGGAAAAATTAAAAAAAATTGTGAGATTAAATTTTGTTAAATTAGAAAATAATATTTCCAAACTTCACTAAACACGCTTTTAGGAACTATAGTAAAATATCACACCATGCAAATCTTCAGGAAAAATACTTTATGAGACACACTAATAATTTTGTTTAATTGTTAGAAAAGTTTAGGTCGATGTTTAGCCAAAAACACGGTTTTATATTGAATATAATAAAATATTTTAAACATGTGTTTGACTAATCACACGTTAAGATAGTGACCAAATATATTTAGTTTCATTTCTTGTTTTGAGCAGTCAAATATTTAATATACAATAACGATTAACTATTTGAGACATTATTTCCATTTTTCTACATGCAATTTAAACAAGCTGCTGTAAATTTGACATTTATTTAAAAATATTTAAGAGACCTGTCAAAAATTATATTATTCGATGAAATAATGAAAGGCCGAAAATTAATATTTAAAAACAAAAACAAGTATATCAATATTTTGTCGTGAAAAGTATCAAAATGTTAAAAAATAGTAATAAAAAATATACGATAAAAATTTGTCAGCAGACCAAAGTGTATTCAAAAGTTTTAGAGACTTTTATATAAGTCGTTTTTTTTATTTTCAAATCGTGCTTAGGACAGTTTTACAGACTAAAATCTATATACAAATAAAATCTCAATTTGAATTTGCGGATAAAACAATCCAAATCGCTTTTTTCATCATGAAAATAATGTCTTTAAAATCCAAGAAATCAAACTAATGAATAACTTATTTGCATCAGTTGAAAGTATGTACTCTTTTTGTAACAAACTGTGGTCTGCACAAAACCCATCATTCAAAATTAGGTACGTACTTGCAAGAGCATGTTTGCAAAATTGGAATTAGTGAACTTAAAGTGCCTCTTATCGTAAAATTTGAGCAACGCCGGGCTGTACGGATGTTTTTCTTTGAGATGGAGATAGTGGACTTCGGGTTCGTTCGTCGTGTGGCCGCACTCTTCGCACACGTACACTTTTGTTCTGCGCTCCTTGTAAGCGTATTGGTGTTGGACTCCGTGCACTTTCAGACAATGCGATTCCAGGGAGCAACGTTGCGTGAAGGATTTCTCGCATAGGCTACATTTGTATGGGCGAACGCCTGAAACGTAAAAGCAAATTTGAATTTTGAAATTTTTTAATTTTTGGTTCTTTAAATTTTTGGTATCTCGAATTTTTGATGATTTTCTAAAGGTTTTTAATGAATTTTTGATGAATTTTTGATGATTTTCTAAAGGTTTTTAATGAATTTTTGATGAATTTTAAAGAATTTTTGATGAATTTTTGATGAATTTTTGATGAATTTTTGATGAATTTTTGATGAATTTTTAAAGAATTTTGGATGCATTTGTAATGAAATTTTTGGTGAATTTTTGATGCATTTTTGATGCATTTTTAATGAATTTTAATGAATTTTAATGAATTTTAATGAATTTTAATGAATTTTAATGAATTTTAATGAATTTTAATGAATTTTAATGAATTTTAATGAATTTTAATGAATTTTAATGAATTTTAATGAATTTTAATGAATTTTAATGAATTTTAATGAATTTTAATGAATTTTAATGAATTTTAATGAATTTTAATGAATTTTAATGAATTTTAATGAATTTTAATGAATTTTAATGAATTTTAATGAATTTTAATGAATTTTAATGAATTTTAATGAATTTTAATGAATTTTAATGAATATTAATGAATTTTAATGAATTTTAATGAATTTTAATGAATTTTAATGAATTTGAATGAATTTTAATGAATTTGAATGAATTTTAATGAATTTTAATGAATTTTAATGAATTTTAATGAATTTTAATGAATTTTAATGAATTTTAATGAATTTGAATGAATTTTAATGAATTTTAATGAATTTTAATGAATTTTAATGAATTTTAATGAATTTTAATGAATTTTAATGAATTTTAATGAATTTTAATGAATTTTAATGAATTTTAATGAATTTTAATGAATTTTAATGAATTTTAATGAAGTTTAATAAATATGTGATAAATTTTTGATGAATTTTTACGAATTTTTGAATTACCTGTATGCGTTCGCGTGTGTCGTTTCAAATCGAACGTATCATTGAATCCTTTCCCACAAAACGTGCACAAGTACCGCTTGACGTCCGAATGGCATTTCATGTGCCTGTTCAACAAACGTTGCAAGGCGAAAGTCTTGTTGCATATCCTGCAAGCGAAGTTGGTTTGGCCGTCTTCCGTAGTGATAGAGGCCACTTTGGCTTTGTCTTCAGTTCTCGAGCTGCCTCGCACCTGGTCTTGATTGGCCAGCGGGTTTTTGATGCCGTGACCTCCGTTGACGAATTCTAATTGCACTTCGGCGGGAAGCCCCAACTGTAAAAACAGACGTAATGGTCAGGGTGGGGATAGATATATTTTTATTCTATGTGAATGGTAGAATAACGTCGAAGATTGGAAAAAAAAATATGACTTGAGGATATCCAAAAAGGCAAAGGGAGTTAAAAATTGGCATTTGCTAGAATTAAGCTATTAATAGTACAGGTAAAAAATGTGGGTGCAACAAAAAAAGGCAAAAGGGGCCAAATATAGTGTAGTTAAAAATAAATTGACGTAAATATTATTTGGTCTGTAGCGAAATTTTAATGAGTTTTATGTACTTGTTAGTGTTTTAGCCGTTAATAATCGATATATTTATGTAAAGTAGGAAAGCAACGTTTTTGATTCTTTGGCAGTGCTGAAATTGATTTTTCTTGATTATATTTTAGATAAGCGGTGAATACAAATGCTTTAAAAAATAATAATAAATATAATATGAAGATTTGTTCATTTAGCTACCTATGTAAGATGACTATTTTTTAGGTCATATAGTACAGTTCTATTACTGGTGTCTTACTATCTTACCAAAACGAATAAATAATACACATTAATCCTTATAACGTTTTAAAAAGTTTTGTATTCACCAATTATATTTAACTATATACAATAGTAAAAAAATACTAGTACTTGCTTTGCCGAAAATCAAACCCATGCTTACCCTATGCAACACATTGACCCTCCCTTGCAACGAGGGGCAATCGCTGCTCGTGCTATCCCTCCTTCTACCCCGTCTCCCACTCACATTAGCCGGCGGACTGATGCTGGGATCTCCTTCCCCGTGGGGTCCATCCAGGGAACAACTGGCCGCACCAGGAGATGGTAGGCTCATTGTGGTGGGGGAATCCAAGTCCAAACCGCTACCGTTGAACGATAGGCTAGGCGAGAGCATCTGTTGCGGGTGGAGCTGCGACTGGAGGGAGTTCTCGTGAAGTGGAGATTGATAAGGAGGCAGCGTGTCGTTGTAGATTTTGGAGAAGTGATTGTGGGTGAAGTTACCTCCTCGGTTTTCGTAATTTCTGTAGAAATGAGAGAAGTGTTATTTGTTAAATTTTAATGAGGGTGTCTTCGCACTTGCAGTAGATATTTTTTGTGGTTCTTGCGGCAGTATCTGGGTTCTAAGAGTTAGTGAGTACCTCAATAGCTTATTTGGGAACATCACTTTCGTTTAATATAATAATAAATAGTTTATTCTTACAAATTATTAAATTAAATTTTATATATAATTTTGAATTAAATTTTTAAATTAAATTTGAGCTGAAATTTTGTAAAAAAATTTTTACAATTTTAAATTAATGATATAATGTAGAAAATCGTTTCACAAAAACTGCACATAAGAAATTGAAAAATATCGCTTACCTGCTTAATATTTGATCATTGAAAGTATCCCCAACGGGTTGTAGTTGTGATTCGGGCGTCATAGAAGGAGAATGGATACTATTAGCTCCTACATCGTCGTTATCATTATCATCGTTTGGAAGTCTCTGAAGGAACGATGACAGATCCGTTGCATCGGGAAAGTTCTCCAATAAAGCATTTTCCGCTGAACTGGAGAAGGTTAGCGTTGCTGTAAAATGAAGAGGGTCAACTACCGTTCCTGAAAGACAATATTCTGGATTGAACTGACGAATATGGTTTAAATGTGTGCTGCTGGAGAAAATTCTCGGCAAGCACAAATTTTAAATATTTAAAAAAATTCTGTCACGATAATAAAATCTCACCTGTCACTAGGTCCACCATCATTGATTCATCATAACCGGAATATCCACTGGGTAGTAATTGATTCATTGGGTCCATTTTTCCTTCGTAAATGTCCAAATCACTTTCGTCTTTCATGACAATACCGTACGAGGCATTTTGAAGGGTCGAATATTGCTTGGGAGGACTCTGGCTACCGTTTAGAGTGAGATTCGCCAGTTCTTGTCCAGTATCGCACTCCATTTGTTGATTCGAGAGGATGTAATTTGACGTGAAGGCTCCGTTGGCATTGAAGCTATTTCCGTTATTTCTTTCTGTAGACAAAATTGAAGATATATGAAATTAAATGAGTAAAAAATGATACAGACGATACAACGATATGAAAATCAGAATGAAAAATATCAAATAGACGGAAATAATATGTTGAAAAGAAGTTAAATCCAAATGACAGAAGAAAAAAGAGAGAAAAAAATATTAATGGTAGTATGAACCTAGATGAATAAAAAGTTAATGATAGCACACCTATTAATAATATTATTAATAATTCTGGTTTAGTATTCTAAAAGTGATTTAGGATTTGCCTGTTTTGAATTAATTTTAAACGTTTATCATCATCTTACCTTTCAACGATTCATAAAAAGGCGGCAAACTGCCGGTGGGCGGGCTACTAGGTCCGTAATTCTGTCTTCCATCCCTTCCGGGATTCATCCCCCCACCGCCGGTGCCGCCTCCCATAGCACCACCTCCGACACCGCCCGATGATCCGCCGCTGAAGCTAATACCGCCGCCTCCACCCGATGAAGAGTTGTTGGGTTGTCCTCCGGAGGATTGGGATTGCGATGTTCCTCTTCCGTGACCTGCGGCCGCTGACATGGTTACCGGGAGTTTCCCGACTATCGATCTGAAAACGAGCATTTTTAAAAAATCGTGTGGCGTCTTGTTAAACGCTTTTTTTATGCCTCAGAAGGCAAACACGACTGTTTTTGTTTGTCAGTGCTTCCTAGATTTCGCCAGTCAGCTGTAACAGCTGCCGATCTTCCAGCTCGATACGTGTGCTGGCTGTGTTAGAGTGGCACCCTCTTCAGAATGTCTCTTTTCATATAATTATCAACAGTCTTCTCCATTGTTTTTAGTGCAAAGGACGTAAGGCTGATTGGTCTGAATCCTTTTTTCCATATTTTGGAATAAATGTGACTGGTCTTTCTCTAAGATTCTGGTGTATTTTTATTTTTCTTTCCTTTTTTTAGTTTCAGGATAGAAAGGATGTTAATTTAAAAAATATGTGGATAACAAAAATTCAAAGGGAGTTAAATATAATGTAGTTAAAAATAAATTGACGTGCGAAGATTACGTAGATTTTTTTCAAGAGGAACAATAAGTCTCTTGTTTTCAAGTATCTCCAGTAGATTGCTTCTGTTTTTCCAAGTTCCCTTTCAAACATAGTTACTTGAAATTTCCAACTTTTAGAATAAATGTGACTGGTCTTTCTCTAAGATTCTGGTATATTTATATAAAATTACAGATTTATTGGTCATTAGTCCTAATTTTCATTTTTTTCTTAGTTTCAAGATAGAACAGATGTTAATTTAAAACATATGTGGATAACAAAAAAAGTCAAAGGGGGTTAAATATAATGTAGTTAAAAATAAATTGACGTGCGAAGGTTACGTAGCTTTTTAATTGTTTTTTTTGAAGAGGAACAAGAAATACGTCTCTCCTTTTCAAGTATCTCCAGGCAGATCGCTTTTGTTTTTCCAATAAACTTCAAGTTCACTTTCAAACATAGTTACTTGAAAATTTGTCGTGACCAATTAGATTTAGAACAATTTAGTTATTTTTAAATTATTAAATTTCTAAAAGCGAGTTTATTTTCAACACTTGTGTAGTTTTTGAATTTGGTAAACATGTTTTACTAAATTAATTTTTTTCAGTGATTAAAAATGTTTTAAGAGTAATAGTTTAATAATTTATTTTTAAAAATGTCAAATAGATTTTGAAAGATTTCTAAATTTTATCCCAATATAAAAAACAAAACTAACCTAACAGAAATCAGCGGTTTGCTAACTTTTGAACAATGACTCCTCCTCTGCTCTCTTATCCTCCTCTCCTCATCTTCATTCTCATTTTCTCCTCTCCTCTTCGGTATATGATAATCGATCGGTTGCTCTTGCTCCGGTTCTTGTATCACCAAATTAGCAGGTACTCTCGTATCCGTATCCTCTTCCCTCTTACTTGTCACCTTAGGCGTTCGTTGTATAACCGAAAATTGCCGTACCGGCGCCGGTCGAGGTGCGTCTTCCGAGGGCGGTTTTTGTGTCGGGAGAGTAATTTTGTCTTGTTTGAATATTGAAGGATATTCTTTTCGTTCGGCCCTCGTAAGTATGTGCCCTCGGCTGCCGTAGGGTTTGTCGCCGCCGAGGATCGAGGAGATGAAGCGTCGTGGAGGGACATTCGTGGGTTTTGAGGATTCCGGTGGAGGGGATTTCGATTTCGCTCGGTCTTCTGGTTTTTTATCAGTATCTAAAAAAAAGAGATTGTATAGTCAGTTTTTGTTATATTAATTAGGAATTAAAGACCGAAGTTTTACTGTATTTTAGGGTTTATTTAAATTCTGGTAAATGTATTAAAATAAAAAATCTAGTATTAGGTATAAAAAATGAAATTTATATATACCGGCTCGCAAATACAAGCATGGTGGGCAATTTTTTTTTATTCTTAAAGACTCATTTTAGACACATTATGTATGAAAAGGTTTATGTAAAAAAAAAATTAAATATAAATTTACTTGATTCAGAATTCAGTCAGATAGTTAAAATAGTATTAAGTAATTTTTATTAAATTTTTTAATATCATATTTTTTATCTATTTCTCTGAAACAAACTTAACCAAAGACAGAACGAATCTTGCGTGTACAATGTCTTTATTTTTATACGCAAAACCTTCTCCGTTTTATCTTTTTGAATAATTTTAGGTTAAAAGTCTTTAACCAGTTAACTAGAGAATTTTACATGAACATTTGCACACATTAAGATAAAATTTAAATTTAAAAATACCCAAGTTCGTCGAATTAAAGTGTTTCGATAAATTATACTCCGTAATAACGGATTTTTTTGTATATCCGGTAGTAGCGTGTTAGTCCAGGAGCTATACTTATTTTTTATAAATTTGCTTTAATTTGCTTGATTTTTTGATATAGTGTAATTTAAATCGTTCTGATAAACAGTTGAAATAAGTTTACCATTTATTTTTGTTCTAAAATATCTGTCTCTTAAGTAAGATTTTAATAGCCAACACATTCTTTTGTTAAGAAAAAGTAGGTGAACAGTATTTTATTTAATTTTGGAAATACAGAAGTATATAATTCCCAACCCCTACAAAATGTTTTTCTTTTCTTTTTAATATCTCTTGAGTAAGTTTAAATGCAAAAATAACAAAATTTGTTGCAAAGATTTAATTCTTTCAACTTTTCTTTGGTTAAATTGTAAATTTACTTAGTATACAGATCAGATGTCTAATTATAATTAAATAATATTATAATTATACAGGAAACTAATGAAAGTATAGTAGGTTGTAATGAAATTTAAGTAAATCATTTTTGTTTTTCGTAGAATAATTTTTTGCTTAGATCAAATCTCAAATTATAGTTGAAAAACTTGTTTCGTGTGAATATTAGAACAAATTGCGAAATTTAAATAGATATTATTATGGCTATACAACAGTAATAATTCAAGGTTAAAAAACTGGTATTCTTTTAGCAGGTCAATGAACGAAATTTTGTTATAAACTTGATAGCTGTATAGATAAAGATTGTTTAGCATTAACCATTTTTTGTGATTCATTTCTTACTAACCAAAACTATTATTATAATCTTAAGTTTATTACTTTTACATTAAACGTTCCCTACCTTTTTGTTACACCCTGTGTAAAATAATATTTTGTTCTGGAAAACAGTCGTTTCCAACAAACCTATCTCGTAATTATTATTTACGATTTATCAGTAATATGTTAAAAGTTTTACATAATTATCAAAGTCAGCGTCTTGAAAACAACGAAAAATTTAGATAGCACACGCATTTTTAAAGATTATTATTAAAAGAATGACTACTTAAAAAACAGTAAAAAAAACACTAATAAGGATATTTTTGGATTAGTGAAGATAGATAGCAAAAAAATTATTTAAGATCTAGAATATAGTATATTACATTATGAGTGTGGAAAATCTTTTTTCACACAAGTGATGTACAATATTTTTTCTACGACCACAAAATTATTTCATCAAAAAAATGTAAAACCAGGTTATTATTATAATAAATAAAATGTATTTAAAAAAATAATCAATAATAATCGTATTTATTCAATTTTAATATTTTCTAAACAAAAAAAAAAAAACTAAAAAACAAAAAAAAAAAATCTGCCCCGCAAGGATTTGAACGCGGTCGCTCGCCAGGTCTCAAATGGCAAAGTTGATAAGTTTGACACGCTAACCATCTGAGCTAATAGATAGGCCCCTTGCGTCAATTGAATGATCTAATCGGTTATGTGTTTAACCAGAATAAAAAGCAAACATAACTTAGTTATTTTAAAATTATTTTAATAATCATTGTTAAAGATAAATATCTAGGATCTAATTTACAACAATTTCAATAATTTAACAATCATATCGATTTTATTATTAATATGGACATTACATAGATCAAAATAGAAATGATGCGTTTAACATTTTGTGACAGCTGATGCGGAAAGTAGCATATTCGCACTCGGGTGGAAAGTAAATTCTTATTCATACGCGTGTGATATAGGGCACTTTCCATAGGACTATATAGTGTGATATGAGTCACTTTCCTAAGTGGTCGTAGGTAAAAGATATTTATAATGCTTGGCATTCTATATTATACTCTTCGCAGTTTAACAGATCCTCTTAACCCCCATTTTGAATCAGATTTTTATCAGAATCAATAGGTTTTATCCTCTTATAAATCTTAATTTTTCCTGATTTTAAATTGATATCGTTTTTTGTTTTTAATATTTTATACCATTTTTGTTCAGATTTTTTTTTGAATTAATAGGCTTCATTTCTTTATAAAGCTTGATGTTGATATCTCTTTCGGTTTTTTATTTCTATTTTTTTATTTCAACCCCCTTGATCCTCCATTTTTTTCAGATTTTTTAAAATCAATAGACTTTGTCCCTTTATAGAGCTTGATTTTTTATTTTTCTTCACAAACTACTGTGTGATTTTTAAATTTGGAGCAATATTAAAAAGTTTGGTTTCTTGATTACTGTGTGAAGAGTACCATAAGTAATACCTGTCTAGCTATATTGAACATAAAGAACATTTTGGTAAATTTTTAAAACTAGAAAATGTTGTTTATTAATTTTTTTAATCAAAAACGAAACGAAATATGAAAAAATAAAAATGGTAAAAAAGTCAGAAAGTAAAAAAAGTAAAAAAAGTAAAAAAAGTAAAAAAAGTAAAAAAAGTAAAAAAAGTAAAAAAAGTAAAAAAAGTAAAAAAAGTAAAAAAAGTAAAAAAAGTAAAAAAAGTAAAAAAAGTAAAAAAAGTAAAAAAAGTAAAAAAAGTAAAAAAAGTAAAAAAAGTAAAAAAAGTAAAAAAAGTAAAAAAAGTAAAAAAAGTAAAAAAAGTAAAAAAAGTAAAAAAAGTAAAAAAAGTAAAAAAAGTAAAAAAAGTAAAAAAAGTAAAAAAAGTAAAAAAAGTAAAAAAAATAAAAAAAGTAAAAAAAGTAAAAAAAATAAAAAAAGTAAAAAAAGTAAAAAAAGTAAAAAAAGCCAAATAAATCAAAAAAGTCAAAAAAGTCAAAAAAAGTAAAAAAAGTCAAAAGTCAAAAAATAAAAAGTCAAAAAGTCAAAAAAGTTAAAAACAAAAGGATAAAAGTCAAATTATTTTATGACTTATTTGAGTGAAATAAGTCAAAAAAAAAGCAAAAAAGTAAGAAAAGGAAAAAGGTAAAAAGTCAAGTCAAAAAAAGCAGAAAAAAGTCAACAAAGGTTAAAAAATTAAAAAAACAGTCCAAAAATGACAAAAAGGTAAAAAAGTTCAAAAAAGTCGAAAAAATCAAAAACAAAAGGATAAAAGTCGAATTATTTTTTAGTTGCCTTGTTTACAAAAATTTGAAAAACTTCATAAATTTAATGGGTTCTATTTTTGTGTTCAAAAACTAACCAATTTCTCCTGTGAGCACGCCCTTCTAACTAATGGATCAACTATAGTAATTTTAAATGACACCTCATTAAAATATTAACAAATATTGAAAAGTTCATTAAAATACATTTTTTGAAAACGATTTTTAAAGAAATTCTAACCACGTCTGTATTTGTATTTTTTATTGCCTTGGCAAAATTATTTGTAATTTAAACATTTCATACACTCATTAATATTGTTGATTCACTGTTTCTATTTTCTAAAACTAGACATTATTATTTGTAAATAATAAAGAGGAAGTCTGGGTAAATTAAGCTTTTAAAAACCAATAGTAACTTACATACCATTGGTACGCATTAATAAAATAGCTCGCACAACAAATCAAATTTAAAATTTAGATACTTAACACTATCCAGTGATGGAGTATAAAAAATTATTGGTAAAAAAACCTATAGAAAATAGTACGTTTCAGTATATTTATGACAATCAGATGAAATTAGTGTTAATAACATTTTTACAAAAAATAACTTATTCTATAGTGTTTTTCTAAGAGAACAAAGTGGCTTTCTTGTAAACAAAAAAGCAATTATTCAAATTTCTGGATGCCTAAGGTACAGTATACAAATAAGCAAGACTAGTTTAGAATCTAAATCTAGTTAAAAAAAGTTAATTATGAAGTTTGAATAGAAATACCGACAGTAGAAATGGAAACTTGGACCAAATTTAAAAAGAAAATGACGAAGAAAAAGTCTTCTTTCACTAGAATGTAATGTGCAGTTGCCATGATAAAATTGTATGAACTTAGACAGATGGAGAAGACAGTGTTGTCATTAACAGACTAGTTTGAGAAGAACTGGCAAACTCAGCTGGTAAAATGCTGAAGATTGCAAAAAAGGAAGACATTCTGCTTGAAAAGAAATTAATGCGTAAAAATTCACTGTTAGTTTAAATACAGATTCTGAAATTGAAACGCGGACCAAACCAAATCAACGTAAGTGGAAGTGAAGAGGAAATCGCATGTATCGTGCGCGAGGCTACTTAATAGGCAATGCGCTGCTCAGTTGTCTTTCTTTGTTTAACGCGTGGTCATATTATACCTTGTTTAATTTATTCTAAAATGGAGAATCAGCATTCAGATTTCTGTATCTGCATATCATTTGGTTTAAAAAAAATCTATGACTACGACGCTGTTGAACACACACATTGGCAATCTAAAAATTCAAGGATGTCCATTGAACTTTTTTAACAAAGTAATCATTATGTTCACCGGTCTAAACACGTGATAATAATAATATATCATGGTATAGCGAGATTCGCTTGTTTTATAGAACAATAGAGAATTGAAATCGCTTTGCTTAAA